GGTCTGCAGCCAGCTTGACTATTTTCAATGAACTTGTCCCATATTTCCGAAACCAAGGCAAACTTATTTGTTTGTAGGTGCCTACTTCTTTCGGTTCTTTTGTCAAAACGAATAAATCGTAGGATTTGCTTGAACTTTTCTCTGGCCATAGTTTTTCTAAAAAATTCGGGACCCTACTTTGCTGACCATAAATAACTGAGTTTTAAATTTTTTGCCTCGTAGGCTCCACGAGCATATAAAATCCCAATAAATGCACGTATTTCCGGTAATGTTGTTCCTCAATCGTTCCTCAAAATTCAGCGGCCTTCTTCTCCTGTGCACTTTTTAAAAAATCCCCCCCCGCCCCCTCAGCAGTCAAAATGACTGCTTTCGGGCAATATAAGTATAACACATATATGTATACCGGAAATGAAGGAGGGGGAGGTAACTACAATTATTAATAAACGCATTTATATGTTGTATAAAAAGTCACAAAATTCTAAGAAATTCTGTCATTATATACATCATTGTTTTTCTAATTGAAATTAAAAAGCAGTCAAAATGACTTCCTTGGGCAATCTAGTGTTAAAGAAACATGTTCTATCGAAACCTAGTGCTAGTGAATTAACATCCTTGGGAAATCTTTGCCTTGGGGCTCTCCTCTTTCTATCCATGAAAGTTGGATGAACAGCTTGGGGGAAACGAGGGAGACTGTGGCTCCAGGCAGCTCAGTGCGCACAGCTCCTCGTAGCGGTGCCTGGAAGGCCAGGGGAGAGAGGCGTGCCCGTGGGAACTGGTTGTGGTCCAGGAGACCAGTGAGTTCCTTCTGCAGAGTGAAGCACTGCTGGGAAGGACAGGAAAGCACGGACTTCCCTTTCCAGGTGACACGTGATTTGTAGGCAGCTGAGTCTGTTTTATCTTTAAATAGGGTCTTAAAGGCCGTCCTCAAATTATGGGAGTGAGCGCAAGGATGTGCCTGCTGACGATGGGAACACGTGTTACTCTCCCCCAGTTCCTTCTGAAAAAGAAACGTTTTTAACAAAAAAATTATCGGGGAAGGGGTTAAAGGCCGTCCTCAAATTACGGGAGTGAGCGCAAGGATGTGCCTGCTGACTATGGGAACACGTGTTACTCTCCCCCAGTTCCGGGTGCTGTGTTACAGTTATTTGCTGTCACATTCATGCCAGCGCCCACATGGCTGTGTGCAGCCCAGAACTGGGGAGACGTTGCTTGTCTGAGCCACTTGGAATCCGTGCTTTTTGACAGCCTTTCATATACGCTCAGAGAAGCGGTTTATTGTATTTTTGGGGTGCTGCACAGGAACGAGCTGTCGGGGGCGCTCACGGGCCTCACGCGGGTGCGGCGGTTCCAGCAGGACGATGCGCACATATTCTGCGCCATGGAGCAGGTGGGGGCTCGGCGGGTGAAATGTGGTGAAGGGAAGGTCAAGGAGATCACAGAAAATTACCGCTGTGTCATTTTCTTTTTTATAATTTATTTTTATTGTCTAAAGTTTTACATAAGTCTCCTTTTTCCCCAATTGACCCCCGCCCCCAGCCATTCCCACCTCAGGCAAGCCCCCACCGCCCCAGTGCCTGTTTCCATCGGTTATGCTGACATGCATGCATACAAGTCCTTTGGTTGCTCTCTAACACCCCTCCCCTGCCATTTGTGTCTGGATCTATTCTTGTTCATCTCATTTCTTTTATTTAAAGATTGAGGAAGAAATCAAAGGCTGTTTGGATTTTCTGCGTACAGTGTACAACATATTTGGGTTTTCTTTTAAACTGAACCTGTCTACTCGGCCGGAAAAATTCCTTGGCGATATTGAAGTCTGGAATCACGCTGAGAAGGTAAGTGGTGTTTTTCAGGCGCTTGAATTCTGGGTGGCTGCAAGTGGCTTCCTCCACCGTGTAAGAAAGCCAGCCTCCTAAGTGGGTGAACGCGAAAGAAAATTAGAAATGGCTCCTGGGTTAGAGTACGCTCGCTTTTTCCTGTTTGCTTTCGGATGTAGAAATGCTTGGATGTGTTTTAGTCTTCAAGCTGTAACCTTGGAAGGGGGTTGGGTGTGAGTATGTTCAAGTGGACAAAGTGACGGAGCAGAGAATAGTGACCCATGAGCGTAATTATGGAATTTTTAGTCTCAAATTAGACCGGTTGCAGAGGAACAAAGATTAAAGTCAGTGTTGCTTTATCTTTAGCAACTAGAAAACAGCCTGAATGAATTTGGTGAAAAGTGGGAGTTAAACCCTGGCGATGGAGCTTTCTATGGTCCAAAGGTCAGTGCCACAGTGGATCTGAGTAAGGTGACATTCATTTGGGGAAGAGATTACTTCAGGTTAAAAAAGGGAGGGGGAAATCAGCCCTCACAGAGCTGCGGAGTCAGCTCCAGTCTGGACAGCACCTCACAGTAAGCCTTTGCTTCTCAGATTGACATTCAGATTAAGGATGCCATCGGGCGCTACCACCAGTGTGCGACCATCCAGCTGGATTTCCAGCTGCCCATCAGATTCAACCTGACCTTTGTGAGGTGAGTTCCTCCTGTCTGTTCTGAACATTCTTCAAGGACATAGAACGGAGTGTGTGTGTATGTGTGTGTGTGTGTTTGTACATACATGCATATAAAATAAAGGCATGTATATATATATATATACTAGTACATATAAAATAAAGGTATGTGTGTATATACTAGTCTATATAAAATAAAGGTATGCATATATATATACTTGTACATATAAAATAAAGATATGTGTATATATATTAGTATATATAGAATAAAGGTAAATATATATATATATTAGTGCATATAAAATAAAGAAAGACAAATCATTATGTTTCCTTTCTAGTCATGATGGAGATGATAAGAAAAGGCCAGTGATTATCCATAGAGCCATCTTGGGATCCGTGGAAAGAATGATCGCCATCCTCACTGAGAACTATGGGGGCAAATGGTAATTTTCATGTTGTTCCCTTCTGGGTGACAGACATTGGCTGTAAGAAGTGTCTGCTGTCCAGTTGAGCATGTAATGGGAAGGGAGAGTGATTGCAGTTAGTCGCTTGTAACTATTGACAGATATTCACTAAATAGGAAGGCAGTACAACTAAAACCCAGATTTTTTAGCTTTAAGAGTACTTATGAGGAATTATTTTTATCTCAGAATTTGATGTATTGAATGTTACACTTTCTAATTAGGAATGATTATTCAGTAAGAAGCATATTGGCTATTTTGATAGCTTTTCAAGGAATTTGATGTGTCCGAGTAAACAGAGCAGGCGTTGGCTCCCGGGCTGAGTGTCGCTGACCGTCATCAGCAGGTAGTTGGACACCCTTTAGAAGCCATGCATTTTCCATTGAGAGTACAGACTCCAAAACAGTCAGCATTTCGTGTCTTGCTTTTATAAGGTTATGTTTTTGCTGGAAACATATGAGCACATGATTTTCATTTTCCTTTCTAAGCCGTTCTGTCTGGGCCTGCAATTTGTAAAGATGGTTATAAAACCCCCGTTTTGTAGAGTCTGCTGCATTAATTCTGTAGATGCAAAACTTCTGTTAAACTGTTGTAAATCTGTTCTGTCTTATACATTGTAGTTATTTTAGTTGTATTTGTAATTTGGTTAGTTCAGACTTGAAGGGAAGTGTGCCATACTTTTCAGTGAAATAACAATCTCTTTCTGTTATATTTCACAAAATCAAGTCAAATATGGGAAACATTCTCTGTGTGAATCTAGAGAACAGGGGATCCTCAGCTAACTGCTCCGCCAAACCTGCGTTTGGTGGGGAAACGCAGTTTGGGCGGAATTTAGTGCCCCCTCCACCGTGTCCCCGATTAGCCAGACAATTTAAGACACGGAGTGACCCAGAGAAATGCTGCTATCTGCAGCATCGGGAAGTGTGACACTGAAATGCCCCAAGAGAGCTGCAGATGGGCCATCTTTTAATAAGTAGTGAGACCACTCATCTTCCCCACATGCCCTTAGCAGTCACTGTCAGTGACCACTTGCTGCATCCTGCAACATGGAGCTGGAATAACTGAAGACAGTCGGTGTCCCTTGTGCAGAATAAGTCATCAATCATGCTCGAGCAAAATCACTTCTTTAGAAACAGCAATAAGTGTGGTTCTTCAGCAACGTGCCCACCCCTCTGCATGGGCACGGTGTTCTGTTCCTGAGGTACTGAAGCGTGGGGCGTGGTCTCTCTGCCCCCCGTCTGCTTTGCCATCTGCTTAGCAAGACAAAATTTAGTTACAGGTTTTTCTTTCTGAGGGTTGGCTTTCTGCTCCTTCATCTCTCTTTAGCCTTTATTGGATATTAAAATAAAAGCCATGATTTTAAATGGTCCGCACATGTTTCAGGAAAAGATACAAAGGGTTGACTGATAAATGAATGGGCTGTCCTTGTTTAGGAAAACCCACATTAAATATTTTTAATTTCTTCCTAAGGCCCTTCTGGCTGTCTCCTCGCCAGGTAATGATAGTTCCTGTGGGACCAACATGTGATGATTATGCCCAAAAGGTAATCCTTAAGTCTGACTTTTCTTTAAATTTAACATTTGTTGTGCGGCTTTCAAATCCCATAAGCTATATCCTTGGTAAATCAAGCTACCTGTGATGTAAAGAGCTGTTACTATCTTCAATCTGTGGTAAGCTTAAACAGAGCACATGGCCTCTTTAATGCTTTCCTAGCTGGTTCTCTGATCAGAAGACAAGTTGGGTAGTTGTTTTACTCACTCTGGCTTAGTGGTTCGTATCAGCAAGTAGGAAATGCCTCAGTATGATATGCAAATTCAAATACATAATGCAGGTGAAGTTTCTTTTTGACTCAGAGTGCAGTTTTGCTTCTGTTCAATGCAAATTTCTTCATTTATTTGAAACCTTTTTCCAGGTTAATGGCATGCCAGACCAATGTTTGCCCTCCTGGCTAAACAGCTACCTCACTAACAGATATAGAAATATCCGTTCATTCTTCACACCTTAAAGCAGTGGTTCTCAACCTTCCTAATGCCGCGACCCTTTAATACAGTTCCTCATGTTGTGGTGATCCCCAACCATAAAATTATTTTTGTTGCTACTTCATAACTGTAATTTTGCTACTGTTATGAATCGTCATGTAAATATCTGATATGCAGGATGTATTTTCATTGTTACAAATTGAACATAATTAAAGCATAGTGATTAATCACAAAAACAATATGTAATTATATATGTGTTTTCCGATGGTCTTAGGCGACCCCTGTGAAAGGGCCGTTCGACCACCAAAGGGGTCGCGACCCACAGGTTGAGAACTGCTGCCTTAAAGACTATGACAGTGTTTTGTTACAGCAACAATTCTTTATCAAGAAATGTTAAATAATCAAAAGTTGTGTTATTAAAAAGCTTTGTTTCAGAATTGCAAATTAAAAGTAATAAAATATTTAAAAGAGACAAAAATCTAAATATCATTGAATGGTCTTATAATATCTAAGTCGTGTTTCTAGACCATCAAAATAAATTGCGCTCAGATCTCAGCTATCTTTAAGAAATAAATGAACATTAAACCAGCTAATAAGCAAACCATTCAGACAAACTGTATTCCTGTGACTGCACCACAGTAGTTTAGTTATAAATGATGAAAGCCACCTGTATTCTATGGCTGATTCGTTGTTTTTATCTGATGTGCATTATGAAAGCTCACTCAGCAGGCGACCCTTGAATACAGTTCCTCATGTTTTTTTTTCAGGAAAATGTTCCTACTCATTTCTCAGCTGGAAGCAGTACTGACCTCCCCCACTCTGGGGGTAGAGTGGCATTGGAATTAAAAAAAATCACTTTTTAATATTTCTCAAGCCTGATACTTTCTTTTTATTAAGTTACTAGAGTCCTGGTGCACAAATTCATGCATGGGTGGGGTCCCTCAGCCTGGCCGGTGATCGGGGTGGATCAGGTTTGTCTTGCCCGGTCCCGATCAGGGCCATTCGGGGCTGGCTGGCTGTGGGGAGGGACCACGGGAGGTTGGCTAGCCACAGGAGGTTGGCTGGCCATGGAAGGTTGGCTGTGGGAGCTCACTGACCACCAGGGGGCAGCTCCTGCATTGAGCATCTGCCCCCTGGTGGTCAGTGAGTGTCATAGCAACTGGTCGACTGGTCAGTCACTTAGGCTTTTATATAGAGAGATTCTTATAGACTGTTTAATTAGGTCATTGTATACACACAATTATTGAAGAACTAATTTTTAATGCTTACATGATTTTCCAAATTACAGGTTACATAAAATCATTTAAGATCAAAATATAATTCTGATTTTGGATGTGAAGAATTCTGTGTCTCTGTTTAAATAGGTGCGGCAACAATTCCATGATGCTAAATTCATGGTGGACATCGACCTGGATCCGGGCTGTACATTAAATAAGAAGATCAGAAATGCACAGTTAGCACAGTATAACTTCATCCTGGGTAAGAAAGGAACTTAGCCAAAGACAAGCTGCACAACCTGGGAAAATTCTGGAATCTTGAGACTTAGCTTGCGAGGATTATAGTCATCAGTTTAGTTCCTTTTAATCCTGATTCTTAAACTATTAAGTTTGTTCAGTTGACATAGGAAAGGAAAACTATGGTGTGAAAACAAATAATTTGTACAGCACTGTCTAAAAATTTCCTCCCCTTCACCTTTTATTTCTTCACACGGTCAATTTTTGTTAAGTCAGCCGGACTAAGTGACTCAATAAGCACAGCATTGTTGGCGTTGCGGATGGGTTTGTTTTTTTAATGAATAAATTTTAAATCAGTTGCCCAACGGTGCATGGTCACCTGTACATTTAAAAAAAAATACGGATTTATTGATTTTTTTTAGAGAGAGAGGAAGGGAGAGGGAGAAAGAGATAGAAACATTGACCAAAGAGAATCGTTAATCGTCTGCCTCCTGCATGCCCCTACTGGGGACCAAGCCCACAATCCGGGTAAGTGCCCTGACCGGGAATCGAACCGTGAACCTCCTGGTTCATAGGTTGATGCTCAACCACTGAGCCACGCTGGCCGGGCTCGCCTGTCCATTTTAATCAGAAGAAGCTACAGGGTGGTTTTGGTCCTGGGGTCCTTTCTGTTCGAATGCCCGATGAGAGCGCTGCCACCTAAGGACCTTACTGTCTTTCGTTCAGTTGTCGGTGAGAAAGAGAAAGCCAGCGGCACTGTGAACATCCGCACGAGAGATAACAAGGTTCACGGGGAGCGCACTGTTGCCGAGACCGTGGCGCGGCTGCAGCAGCTGCAGCAGGCCCGCAGCAAGCAGGCCGAGGAGGAGTTCTAGCACGGCCCGACGGCCCAGCGGGAGAGGAGCGGAGTCCGTGGTGCTCATTCACTGTGCTCTGGAGGGCCTTGATTTGTCCTGAACCTGGATTGTGTGGCAGAGTCTGCGTAGGTGACTGCAGGGAGGAACCTGTTTTGACCTCGACAGGTTTTCGATAATGTGTATCTGCTGGCGATAATTAAAAGAGACTCATTTAAATGATTTTATTCATTAATTACCCGAGCACTGGAAATAGATAACAAGGAATGCTTTAGTGTGATGAGGGAGAACATTTTTTTTTAATTTAATGCAATGGAAAAATAAGTTTTCAAATTTGATTTGGGTAAAAAGAAAGATTATAATTGGATTATGGCATAAAAATAAAAACTTTAACTCGTGTAAATTTCAAGACTTCTGACCGTCACATACCTCCTCCCCAGAACAGATTGCATGATTCAAGATTAATCTTTAATGTTCTATAGCAAACGTGGTAGGTGGGTGGAGGGGAGCGGGTCTGCAGTGTGTGTGGTCTCCAGCTGGGCCGGGAGCGAGCGCCTGCTTCCCGGTGGCAGAACGGCATCTTTTAGGGGCCCCGCCCTTACTCCACTTCTTTTTGGACATAAACCTTTTACACAGTTGAAGCCAACCATGGGTCTAATGGAGATCATTTGCACAGATTTTTAAGATACATTCGGGAAAGGAATATATGTTCATGGCACACTGTTCTGGACCATTCAGTCCCTTGTTAATACAAATTCCCAATTCTCTCAGGATAATTTTTGAATTTTGCTATCAGTGAATGATGAGTGAGGGAACACCACAAAATAAGGAATTCCTTATGCAGATAGATATGAATCTCGAATGTAATCCCTTTGAAAAGGCAACATCTTGGCAGTTTCTAATATCCCAATAGGGTGTTTGCAAGGGTCACTGAAAAGCAAAGCCAATTTGCGTAGATTACCCCTCACTCTAACACAGACTGTGGTTTTAACTTTTGGTATAACAAATATGTAACATGGATTTTTCTTAACTATTTTATACTAAAAGCAAGGACTGGCTTATGCAATGTATTAACAGTGTACTTGAGATCATCGCAGAAGCTTCATAAACCCTTTAGAACTTTAAAGGTGCAAAAGTTATTAAAGACAGAGGTTGGCAGAGCCGCGAGCGGAGAACCCTCTCTGTAGCAGGCCCTAAGCCTGTCCTTCTTCCCGGGAAACCTCAGGGAAGCACCCAGAAGGCCCTTACAACCTGCAGGCGGCTTGTCCCGTCAAAGCTCTCTTCTCTGTGGCCTGTTGTGTTGCTTTTCAGTCCCTTTCCTGGAAGGCAGCGGCTGTCCTACTTACTGACTCACTCACCTGTTCTGTTCAGGTTTAGGACATAACAATGGGAAGGCTCCCAACTGCTAAGCCTCTGTGAGCGTCTAGTCTCCTGAGAGCATCTTGGTAATCAAATCTACTGGGACGATTTGAGAACAATGACAAAAAGTTGCAGCCTCCGTGTGATAAATCCTGTAAAGATGGATTTTGTGAAGAAATAGGTGCCCCAAACAGTAGGTACCAAAATGTATAAAACAGGTCAGGAGGATGGAGCCGTGGGTTAGCAATATAGGTGAGCGACAAGGGTGGAGGACCCAGAACAGTGACCTGAGGTCACATTTGAAGCCCCGGTCACCATGTGCCCCGTGACCCCTTGCTTCACCTTTACTACAGCGATGGGCACTGGCCCGGACACGGGGACTGCTGGGCCAGCGCTTTTCAAGTTCACGGGCCTAGAGGTGGGAAATGCAGAGCCTCGTTCTGTAGGTCGGCCCGGGTCTCAGGATTCTGCAACCAGCAAGCTCCGAGTAGGTGCTGAGGAGCACACTGGGGAGAAAGCTCTCATTCCCACTCTGACTTGCCTTCTCTCTCCCGCCTTAAAAAAATCAAAGAGCAATAAAAGGCTCGCAAGAAAAGCAGCCTCTTGTCCGTGTGACCCTGTGGGTACCATCCCCAGGCAGCCGCCTCCCGCCATGCTGGCGTGTGCCTGGAGCCATGCTGGTGTGCGCCTCCCGCCATGGTGATGTGTGCCTCCCGCCATGGTGGTGTGTGCCTCCCGCCATGCTGGTGTGCGCCTCTGCTCCAGTTCTTGACTCCTCACTGTTAGAGCCGCTGCATCTACTGTGCCAGCAGAGGAGGGTTCCAGTCACACCCTCATTTCCCCTCCAGGCCTCCGATGTATCTTAGCTTCCTGTTAGAGCCATACCAATGTCCTTGTTCTATATCCATGAACAGGCTCTAAGTTACTAGTAAGTAGTATCCTATGATTTCTCCTAGTACATTTTTACTGGACTTAAACATGATCTCTTTTAAAAAATACTGTAATAGCCATGTACCAGCCGGGAGGAGAGGGGTACTTGAAATATCACGGGGCCCACCCTGTGCAGCGCCTGAATGTCTAACCACTGTTGTACACCTGAAACTAATACAGAGTAATATCGAATGTGCACTATAATTGGGAAAAAAGGAAACTTGTATGTTATATGTTTTTCATCACAATAAAAAATAAAATATTTTCTTTGACTATCTGCCTCGAATACTCTTATACCTTGCATTACAGGCCTTCCAAAAGTCAAATCTCCCGCTCCCCGGCTTTATTTAGATCCTGTTGACAGGCAGTCTGTGTAAGTTTAAGGTGTTCAGTGTGATGGTTTCAAGGTTTGTGAGCACCCTCATCCCTCACATAGTTTCCATCCATAGGTTAAACCTGGCAGACAGTTCTCTGTGGCAATTGCCTTCTAAGACAAATCCCTTCTGGAACCGTATGTCTCCTGGGCCCGAAGCAGCGCTCACCGTCAGCCTTCTCCTCCCTCCCGTGTTTGGTTCTCTTTCCTGGATCCCACACCTTCCTTTTTCTTGGTTCCCTATTTCATGTTGGTGAACTGTTTCCAGTTGCCGTTCAAACACGGTTGCAAGGTATCGAACTGTTGGTTGAAACGTGTGTTTTTTTCTTTTCTTAGAATTCGGAAGACATTGCTTCCATTTTCCTCTGCCTTTTAGTGTTTCTAAGGCAGTGGTTCTCAACCTTGGCTGCACATTAGAATCACCTGGGAATCTGTTTAAAATCCTGATTTCTGGGCCCCATCCTCCAGAAATTCTGTTTCTTGGTGATGGGGTGGGGCCACAACATTAGTCACAAAGAAACAGAATTTCCGGAGGATGAGGCCCAGAAATCAGGATTTTAAAAAGATGCCAGGTGATTCTAATGTGCAGCCAAGGTTGAGAACCGCTGTCCTAAGGAATCTGTTCATTGTGTTTTGTTGTGTTCATCCTCACCTGAGGATATTTTCGCATTGATTTCGGAGAGAGTGGGAAGGAGGGGGAGAGACAGGAAGAAACACTGATTGGTTGTCTCCAATGTGCCCGACCAGGGCCAGGATGGAGCCTGCAAAGGAGGCATGTGCCCTTGACTGGAAGCGAACCTGGGGCCCTTCGGTGTGCAGCCCGATGCTCTGTCCACTGACCCAAACCGGCTAGGGCAGGAACCCATTCTTATCCCCAGTCCTTGGTGTCTCACCTGTCATTTTTTCTTCCTCCAAAAGGTTTAGCTCTCTTTTCTTTAGCCTTATTCTGAAATTTCCTGATGACCGTAGGTCTTTAACCTCCATCACGGTGAGCAGCCTTTTCATTCCGGACCTTCAGGCCCTCTGGTTCCGAGAAATGTTTTCTGTGTTGCCTTTGCTGGTTTGCTTCCCTACATTCTGTTCTTAAAGGGCCTTCTATTATTCAGATACTCCACTTAGAAGAGATTTTTCAAATGTTCCCTTCTCATTCATGTGTGTGTTTATGTCAGCTTTCCCCCCTTAGCCTTCCAGTTGTCTTTTTCTTATATTATCCCTATATTAAGGCATTCTGTTCTTGTTCCTTGGGTTCAATTTTTTTTTAAAGTTCTACTTTTTTTAAAATATATTTTATTGATTTTTTAAAAAATATATTTATTGATTTTTTACAGAGAGGAAGGGAGAGAGATAGAGAGTTAGAAACATCGTTGAGAGAGAAACATCAATCAGCTGCCTCCTGCACATCTCCTACTGGGGATGTGCCCGCCACCCAGGTATATGCCCTTGACCAGAATCGAACCTGGGACCCTCCAGTCCGCAGGCCGACGCTCTATCCACTGAGCCAAACCGGTTTTGGCCTTGGGTTCAATTTTATCTCAGGTACGTCTCTAAATAACATTGGAGTCTTGTTTAGCACACCGTAATATCTCTACTTTCTTTAAGTCCCCTTCTCTACGTTTTGGTCTCTGTATTGTAAGCAGGCCTGACTGCCAGAGGTCATGTGTAAGAGGGAAGCATGGACAACTCTATGTGAAGGGTGTGTGTGTGCGCGCCTATATACTCGTTCATTGAAAGATTAAAGGCCATTCTATTCCCCGGCAGCAGAGGGCGATCTTGCCTTATCTAGATTGACGAAGCAGACAAGGTTGAGGTGAAACCAGTTACAATAACCTTCGTACCACTTGAACTTCCAGGGGAGCTTTTTCTGCTCCCTGCGTGTTTCCATCCCAAGTTTATGTCCACTGTTGCAGGAAAGTCGCCTTTTAAATTGTTCGAATGAGATGCCCATAGATGCCAAAGCAGACTCGGGCGGGAACGTCTTTCTGCGTTGTGCACCCACTGGGGAAGGGTGATGGAATCCATCCGCATTATTTCATTATGTTTACATCTTGAATCAGCACCGTGCCCTGGCCAGTCTCAGCCGCTCCTCATGGTCACCACTAATGGACAGAACTTGATGACAGCCTGGAGAGCTGCCCTGGGGTGCCTTTCCCGGCTCAGCTGTCGTGAGGGGGGGGCAGTAGAAGGGGACGGGGCACAGCCCTGGAGGACGGGGGACAGATTCTTGTTTTAAGCAGGAAGAAGAAAGGTCAAGGTAGGAAGGCGAGCGCCTAGGGTGCTGGAGGAGTAAAGCTTAAACAGGGTAAGGAAATACCTCTTAATAGTTGGACCGGCCAAAGAGAGGAGCCCCCAGAAAAACACATGTTCCCTGGCATTGTTCCCTAAAGAGCGCCAGGAAAGCCCTGTTGCTAAGAGAACTCACCGGAACCGTTTAGTTAAAGGCAGTATGTCAGAGGACCCGGTGCCGGGAATTAGATAAGGATGGAACTGCAGAAGGAGAGATAGGAATATAAAGGTTTTAAGGTTTGGTAAGTAATGCCCCCTTTTTCCTCTGCTGGGTGAAGAACTAATGAGAGAGAGAGGAGGGGGCGGGGAGAAAGAGGGAGAGAAGGAAAGATGGGGGAGAGGGGGAGAGGAAGAGGGAGGGTTTCCTTTTATTTTTATTTTTTTTAAAGGTTTCTTTTTTTTTAAATATATTTTATTGATTTTTTACAGAGAGGAAGGGAGAGGGAGAGAGAGCCAGAAACTTC